TTTTTTGGTGGAAATAGCAGTCTGTGGTTCCCAGGCTGGTCTCCAACTCCTGGCCACAAGCGATCCTCAACTGCCTTGGCCTCCCAAAGCACTGGGACTGCAGGTGTCAGCACCACCACTGGTCCAGAATTATTTTCTAACTGGGCTGCGGGAAAGGGCAGGGTCTGTGTGGTGGAGGAGGAGCTATAGCTGCCTTTAGTTTTTTTATGGCAAGGCTCTGGAGGCCACCCTGCTTCCAAAGGCTGGGTCTGCCTTCTAACTCTAGCCAGACTGGACCCTGGGGACACTGACTGAAGGGAAGAAGGGGCAGGAAGGGCAAAGGTGGTGGGAGAACAAAGTGGTTGAGGTTTCCATGTCCAAGGCCAAAAGCAGAGCGGGGATTTCACCAGCCCCGACACCCCCACTGATGACATAATCCAGGAGACAGCTGGGAGTCATGCCTTGGGCACCTGCATTTTTCAGAACAGTCAGAGGAGAAGCAATATGAGGATGGTCCAGAGGTGTATCCAGGTGCCTCACGGGGGGACTGGCTCGTCTGTGACCGCTGTAGGGTAATGAAGAGAAACCCTTGCAGCTTCGGAGGGCAGTGCCTCCAGAAATCATCACTCACCTCCCATTCCCAGTGGGCCCTGGACTGTGGACCCTGATAGGCCAGAAAAAGAGATTCAACATCAACTGGACTCAGGAGTAGGAGAAGGAAAGCATGTGAACCCTGGGGAGCAGTGCAGGCAACCCTTTGATGAGGCCCTAGAAGCACCCGCCTTGTCCACCCCAGGCAGGAAGCTTCAAGCTTTTTACCCGTAGCTTCTGCTTTCTTTTATCTAGGGGCTAAAGATGCTTTTAGTGATATCAGCATCTGTGAACCCTGGGGATGAAAGTGTGGGGAGGGTCCAGCTGGGCTGTGTGGTGAGGTGGGAAAAGTTACAACTCACGGCGAACAGCCAGGAGGGTGTTTCCATGGCAACAGGACACGGAAGTCACCGTGTAAGGGTGTGTCTCATCCAGTTGCACTAGCCGAGGGAATCTGGCATCCTCATCCCTCCTTCCCAGTCGACCTCGGGCCCCTTTGCCCCAAGAGTACACTTCACCCTCTGCCAGGAAGAATCCCCAGGAAGGAAGTGGGAAGCAGGCACAGCCCGAGCAGCAGCTCCCCTCCCACATTGCCAGGATGGCCCCCGGGGGTCTGCTGAGTCCAGTGGCCCTGAGCAGCAAACCCCTCTACTGCTCAGGGCACTGTCTGTCCCCACCATACTCAGTCCTCACCTGCCCCAATAGCTACAGTGAAGGCATCCCCACAGGCTACCACTGCCATCTTGATGCCCTCAAGGCCTTGGACCTTACAGGGTGCCCGGCTGCCCCGGCGAGCATTGGTGCCCAATTGCCCATGCTGATTGCTGCCAAAAGTGTAGCAATCACCCAAGGCTGTGGGGGGAGAGGAAGGAAAGGAGTGCTTCAACAGGGTACCAAGGAGACCATGAGCCCCGCTCTGGCCTCCTGACCCAAGTCCTGCTCACCAGTCACAGCAGCTGAGTGAGCAGTGCCCAGGTCTACACTCAGCAGGGGCTCCCGGTCCAGGGGTGCAGAGCCTAGTGGCGTGAAGCTCAGGGCCTCCTCCACCTGCTGGTGGGGAACAGGCTCCTCCCCCAGGGAGAGATGGTCCAGGCCCAGTTTGTTGAACCTGAGGGCAGAGCCAGAAGCTAAATTCAACTGACAGTTTGGGCAGGAGCTGGTGCACCAGAAGACAGATCCCACCCTGGGTTGAAGCAATAGCACCCTCATCCCCCTCAATTCTGGTCTTTGGTGAGAGGTAGGCAATGATGGACGGAGCACTGGTAGCCAAGGAGAGCCAGGGGCAGGTTAGTCATCCCGATGACCTAGTCACCTGTTGCTTCCACAGGCCAGGGCTTGGCCAGGCACAGTGAGGATCATGGAGGAGTCGATGCCACATACAACTCGCTGAGCTTCCTGTCCCGGGGGCATGGGCACCTGCTGGGGGCAGCTGTGGGACTCCCTGGTGCCTAGTCCCAGTCTCCCTATAAGAAGAAACCCAAAGGGGTTAATTTGAGCTTTAGCGGGGGTGATGCCAGGATGAGGAGGGCCCATGGAGGGGAGGGAACAGCATGAGTTTTCTGTTCTCTCAGCCCAAAATGCCTTTCCTAGGCCCTTCTGCTGGTTGAAATACTTTCTTTCTTTCCTTCCTTCCTTCCTTTCTTCC